ATGATGATGATGATGATGATGATGATGATGATGATGATGATGATGATGATGATAGTGTTAGTGATGGTGATGGTGTTGGTGGTGATTATGATGATGACGACGACGACGATGATGATGGTTTTGATATTGATTACTATGTTGTTGATGATGAAATATTATTTATTATCAAATAATATTAAATCAAATTAATTATCATATTATAATATAAATTTATTATGGCGAATAATAAAATAATATAATAAATAATAATATATAATAATATAAATAATATAATACGTTCGGCCATCATAATTTTTTAACTTAATGACATAGTAGTAATAGATGGAAATCAGGTGTGTTGCTTATCAGGTCTGTCTGTGTGCGTGTGTGCGTGTGTGTGTGTGTGTGTGCGTGCGCATGTGTGTGTTTTTCCATCCCATCTTGGCCTAACTCTCAGCAGTAACTCCATAGAAATCACCATCCCTATCTGTTAACACCTCGCAAGTACTAATACCACTAATCACAACATTTTTAATGGGAGACTAGATTTTAAGAGTATATATATGTATGTATATATATATATATATATATATATATATATATAAGGCTTCTCTTATTTGCTGCTTAACGTTGTTGTAATGTATTGTGAATATTATTGATTCGGACTAATTCCATGTCTTATTTGACATGGGACTCTAAACTCTAAACAAAAAGCATAGAATGAGAGAGCTTCTTAAAATGGTGTTTGTATGAGTTTATTTTAATTCAATTCTGAAACTCCTAAACAAAAAACACGAATTAGTGCATAAAATGTTGATCATACAATAGATAGATGGATGGATGGATGGATGGATAGATGGATGGATGGATGGATAGGTAAAAAGACAGGAAGAGCTTTTGGATGATGTCTAAGTTCATTCAATTCTACAGTCCGATATTATTATAGTACTATTCGCGTGTCTCATCCAGTCACTCGAGCGAGTACTACACCTTTGTGCTGACTGACATCGGCGGCAAGTTCAAGTTCGGCTTCTGCAAACTGACCACTAGGCTGAAGCTGGAAACCTGCTACTGTTTCGTTAGGTGTGATGATGATGATGGTGATGGTGGTGGTGATGATGGTGCCGTTCTAGATGATGATAACGATGATGATGATGATGATAATGATGATCTTATCCCCCCCCCCTCATTCCCTAGTTTTCTTCCTTATTTCGAAGTTTTCTACCAAGCCCTCGAGATCGTCACCAACCGACTTCGGAGAGACACCGACGACGATGTCGCCATGCTGCTGCTGCAGAAGCTGCATCAAACGACGACCTTCAATCCGCTGGATGAGATCTGCGTTGTCATGCTGGATTTCTCTCAGGTCTGCTGCTACTTGTAATTTTTAAATATAATTATTATAATTATAAATGTTATAATTTTTTTAATTTCATCTTGAAGAGGTTCAACTTCTTGTGTCCTTCACTGGAGCCCGTTCAGTCCATCCCGGAAAATGTTAGATGATGACGATGACGACGACGATGATGATGACGACGACGATGATGAGGGCGATGATGATGATGATACAACTACAAATGATACTATTGTTATTGTTGCTAACGACACGCTGATGGTGATGATGATGGTAGTGAGGATGATTTTGATGAGGATGGTGGTGGGGCCGGTGATTGTAATGGTAATGATGATGATCATCACAATCATCATTATAATCATATTTATCATCATCATCATCCTCTTCTTCTTCTTCAGAAAAACATAAGCAAGTTATTCACATCATTTGGAGTCAATAACTTAATGCACATCTTCGCCAGGTTGGTGGTGATGATGATGATGATGATAGTGGTGATGACGATGATGATGATAATGATGATGGTGGTGATGATGACGATGACAGTGTTGGTTGGCTTTTAAATAATTTATTTTTTTTTAAATATACGTTTCGTAAATAACTTCACAGATTATCTTGTTTATCCATTCATCTGTTTTTCCATTCATTCATCCATCCATCTGTTTATCCATCCGTCTATTTATTCATTCATTCATTCATTCATTCATTCAATCGTTCATTCATTTATTCATCCATCCATCCATCTGTCAGTACAATATTTGAAAGGAGGTTGCTCTTATATAGCAAACATTTGAACAAAGTAACTTCATGCATTCACGGATTATCCGTTCTTATATATCCACTAATCTGGTTGGTTCATTTGAATTTAAATTTTTTTGAATTTTTAGTATTCTCAATTTTGATTGGCTGATTGAAAGTCTGGCCTGATTTGATTGGTCCGGTTAATTTAAATTTTGCCTGACCTGATTGGTCGATTGATGTAGTTCAATCGATCTTAATTGATTGACTGTTTTCATTGATTGTGGCACTGGTTAAATGGCTCGACTACATCAACAACAACATCATTAACACCAACAACAACATCAACAAAACAACGACATTAGCATTGTTTGTTGATTTGTGTTGTTGATGATGTTGTTGTCGTTGTTTAATTACTAGGCAGCACTTGTTCATTCCTATCCTTCCGCCTTTGCTCATTGACTATTGCAGGTTGATATTGTTGTTTTTGTTGTTGATGTTGCTGTTGATGATGATAATGAAGAGGATGTTGTTGTTGTTGTGTTGTCGTTGATGATGATAATGAAGAGGATGTTGTTGTTGTTGATGATGATAATGAAGAGGTTGTTGTTGTTGTTGTCGTTGATGTTGATGATGATAATGAAGAGGATGTTGTTGTTGTTGTCGTTGATGTTGATGATGATAATGAAGAGAATGTTGTTGTTGTTGATGTTGTTGTTGATGTTGTTGTTGATGTTGCTGTTGATGATGATGATGTTGATTTTGTTGTTGTTGTTGTTGACGGTAATTGTTATCAAATTGCCAGCGCTCCTATGCCTTACATAATTGGTCTGCACTCGTCAACGATGGAGGCTAGCGTTGTTGTTGTTGTTGTTGTCGTCGTTGTTGTTGTTGTGGTTGCTGTTGTTGTTTTTGTTGTTGTTGCTATTGTGGTTGTGGTTGTTGTTGATTTTATTAAAGTTGTTTTTGGCATCATTGTTGTTGTTGTTGTTGTTGTTGTTGTTTTTCATTCATAAGACATCACGTCGTCATTCATTGTCCAACCGTAACAACATCAACAACAACATCAACAACATCAACAATAACATCAACAACAACAACAACAACAACGACAACAATAGAAATTAGGCCACCACGACTACTGCGACGCCGTCGTCGTCAACATCGACGATGACGTCATCATGTCCCAGCATGACGATCTTAAACTCATACCGCAAGATGTCGTTAGTCATGTTGTAGTTATTATTAATATTATTAGTGGTAGTAGTAGTGGTGGTGGTAGCAGCAGCAGCAACAATAGTAGTAGTAGTAGCAGTAGTAGTAGTGGTAGTTAGTTTTTGCAGTTATAATGCTGAATAAAAACAAATAAAGTTTTTTCTTGGTCGAAGGTTTCAATGCTGAAGAAGCAACTAAAGCACCATAAAAGCTCATTGGATAAGAACCAGCCAATAGGAGATGGTGTCTCGAGGGCGTTCCTAAGGGCCATGGCTTACCTGATTGGTTGGTAGTAGTTCACGAATGTTAATTAGTTGTTGTTTTTGAATACTGATCACTCAGCGCGCACCAATCAGTCTGTCAGTCAGTCGTTCAAGCGACCATTCAAACGAACCAACACAGGGGGCTACCGCAACGCTCTGCGCTTCAAAATCGGCGACCCGATTACTTTTAACCGTGACGCGTTCATTTCCGGCATCTCCTTAACCGGCAGACGACAGGGGGGTTCAACAACAACAGCAACATCAGCAGCAATGACGTCATCGTCATCTTCGTCCTCATTGGTCGCAGAGTACAAGAGATTCTACAACATCATCAACCAGACGCAACTCTTCCAGGAGTTTGTGCAGGAGAGACTGGACATGCTGAATTCCGGAAGTGGTCGGTTATGATTATGGTGGCGGCGTAGTGGTGATGATGAAGGTGATGGTGTAGTAATGGTGATGATAATGACGATGATGGTATAGTGATGGTGTAGTGAGGATGACGATGACGACGATGACGACGATGATGGTGTGAAAAAGGATTCCAGGATGATTTCGAGAGGGAGGCCATGCTGACGGAGAAGGACGACAAATGGATGACTCAGTCCCGATACAGAGACTGGATGAGGCACATGAAGGTCTCAATAATAATAATAATGATAATAATAATAATAATAATAATTATAATCATAATAATAATAATAATAATCATAATAATGAGAACTCTTTTATTTCTTCAAAAGCAAAAATATGAATGAAAATTACAATTAAATATAAAATGATCAAATATTATAATAGTTAAAAGATTAAAAAATGAATAATTTAATACCTATGATGATGATCTGTATATTGCATAATAATAATCATAATAATAGTAATCATAATAATAATCATAATAATAATAATATTAAGTAAATAAATGAATATATATATATATATAAATAAATTATGATAACCACAACAACAACAACAACGTAGGAGCAAGGTAAGAAAATTAAAAGAGAAGGTAAAGATAAGTGGAGTGATTTTTCACAGAAGGTTTAAGTTCTTTCATTCTTTCATTCATTCTTTCATTCATACATTCATTCGTTCTTTCGTTTAGTTTTTCATTTATTAATTAATTCATTAATTTTTCGTAGAAGGTTCAAATTTTTTTATTCATTCTTTCATTCATTTATACATTCATTCGTTCTTTTGTTCAGTTTTTCATTCATTAATTCATTTCATTCATTTGTTCGTTCTTTCGTTCGTTCATTCATTCAATTCATTTAATCTTCCAACATTTCATATGTTTGTTTATCCAGTCTTTCATCCATTTTTTCGTCCATTCATTTATTCATTTATTCATTCATTCACTCATTCATTCCTTGGAACTTCAGGTGAAGCACAAAGGCAAGAAGACATGGAAGGAGATGAAGTTGAAAATTGATGATAGGAAAAGAGTATGAATATAAATAACACTACTACTACTACCACTAATAATCATCACCATCATCATTATTATTATTATTATCATTATTATTTTAGGATGATTACTATGACCACCCGTATCACCGAAAGGTGATATCCGGTAAAGAGAAAGATGCCGCTAGGATGCAGCAGAAAGTTATCAAGGTCGTCATCATTATTATTTGTATTATTATTATTATTATTATTATCATCATCATTATTTGTAATATTAATTATTATTATTTTAGTTGAGATAATTTATGCAAATTTATTCAGCCTCCACGACCGCCTCCGCCAATAGTGGAAAAGTACGTCAAACAGTGATGGATTGATTGAATGAATGAATGAATTAGTGAATTAATGAATGAATTAATTAATGAATGAATTAACGAATAAATGAATGAATGTAGGAAGGAATAAGTAAATGAATGATAAACGAACGAGCGAAAAAATTACTGCTTCATATGTTTGCTAGCCGAACTTCTGTTTATATATAAAACTTGTTTAAAAATCACCAGCAACAACATATCACACTGACCTTATAACATCAACAACAACACGATCAAATCAACATCAACACCATCAACAACAACAGATCCAGCCAATACAACTTTGTAAAATTTAGTGAAGGACCCGCGCAACAACAACAGCCAACAGCAATGTCAATTCTTCGCAAGAAATCAACAACGACAGCAACGGCCAATCACGAGAGCGGGCTCTTTAGACCCCTGCCAAAATAAATTCCAACCTATTAGACGAGCCGGCCATTCAGCAGTGTCTAAAAATAACCACAGCCGAATTCTCAGAAACGGGCAACCAATTAAAAAAATTTTACAGCCTGGAAGGCCTCTGCAGTAGCGCCAGCGATGACGTCATTCGTGACGTAAACGATGACGACGACGATGATGATGATAATGGCGGTGATGGTGGTGATGGTGGTGGAGAGGTTAGAAAGATGAACGGAAGCGAGTTAGAGGAGGCTGATGTGATCAATGCCCCGGTGGTGCTGCTGATGATGAGTGAGAGACAGAGGAAGGGGAGTTTGTATAGGAAGAGTCAAAGCTCGTTTGAATTGGTTTGTATGTTTGTATGTACATATGTATGTATGTTTGTATGTATGTATGTATGTTTGTTTGTTTGTATGTTTGTTTGTTCGTTCGTTTGCTTGCTTGTTTGTTTGTTTGTTGTTATTTTCATCATGACGCCATCTACATCATCACCATCTTCTTCTTCTCCGTCACCATCAGGACAAACTATCCTCACCAACTACAAAGAATGATAACAACAGCAACCTCAATCACAACAACAACAACAACAACAAAATAACCATCAGCAACGACGATGATGATGATGATGAAGACGAGGGAACTGACGATCGGTTTCAAATAACAAACTTTGGAGTAAACAGTGACGTCAACATGTTGAAGATTGCCAACAACATCCACAACAACATCAACAACAACAACAACATGATGCCAAAGAATTCCAGTTTCAACGACTCTCTGATATATTACTCTTCAGTCAGGAAAACCATCAACAACATCAACAAAACATCAACCTTGCCGACATTTACTAGCAACAACAACTCAGCAATTACTCAACAACAACAACAACGTCAACAACAACATCAACAGCAACAACATCAACAGCCGCTAGTCACATCAGCAGAAGATTTGATAACATTCGGGAGTAGTGACAGCAGTTGCATAAGCATTGAGTTTGATCCACTGAAACAACAACACTCAACTGCAAGTTTAAACAGCAACAACAGCCACAACAACAACACAAACATCGCCAACATTAACGCAACAATCACCAACAACGACGATACCTTCAACAACAACAAAACATCATCAACAACAACAACAGACGAAGGACCACCGTTAGCGCCAATAAGGCCTTCACGAATGAAACCAGTCGCCCGAGTCACGAGACCCGTCAACACCATTTCGACTGACCTCCTCCCTTCAACAACAGTCCCCCACCAACATATGCCCCCTCAATTGGCTCCCCCTCAATTGACTCCCCCCCAACCCATGCCCCGTCGACGCGATACCACCAACACCAGTTACAACCACCATCGCGTCAATACTTACATGTCACAGAGCAGCGCCCACTCAAGAAATGGTGTCGTCATCAGTGATTGGATCGATTGTGTGGCTACCGATGCGGCTACTGCAGCTACTACTGTTGCTGTGACCGCTACAGCTGCTACCACATCTACAGCTACTACCGTTGCAGCCCCCATTGCTGGTAGTGGTGCTGATGAGAAAGCTAGCCAAAACTACGTTGATGTCATTTTTGATTTGAATTGTTTGGTCAAGAGCGTTAATGATAAGTTGGGCGACAACAATAGCATTAACAGCAGTAACACTTCTAACAACAATAACAACAATAATAACACTAACAAAACCAAACAAGGGAGCACAGCAGTCATCAATGCTACGACAAACATCCCTCCAAACGTTGCATCATCGACATCTTTTCTCCCGACAACAACATCATTCGCAGCAACAACAAAAACATCATCATTATCACCACCTCGTCAAACTCGTCAATCATTGGCTGAGCAGATCAAACAGGCTCGGACTGCTTTCATCCAATCAGATTTGACCATTCCAATTCCGCCGCCAGGATTCGACAGTTTCGATCCCCTGTCAACTGGTCAGCTGATAATCGACGACCAATCACGTTCGGGTAGTACAAATAGTGACCAATCAAAACTGTCCATTTTTCATTTAGAACCGTAAGTGATCTTTCATTCGAATTGGAGTGTTGGGGGTGTAATTTCATTTTTTTCTTGAAACAATATGTACCAAACAATCTTCACACATGTGTGGTCTTTCTTAAATTATTTTAATAATAATAATAATAATAATAATAATAATGAGTTATACAGTTTATACCAACGTACATTTTCACGCTATAACATTCAAGTGTATAATTTTTGAATGAATAGAAACTAAAAAAAAACCCAAAAAGGTCGCAAAGATCATCAGCTGACCTCAACCAAGCCTCAAGACTGGACGACCAGCTACTTAAAGAATGGAACCTTCTCACTCTGACGTCGTCGACGAACGCAACAACCACTACTACCAATACTACGACATCCTTACAACCACAGCGGCCTGTGACGTCATACCAGTACAACAAATCAATGCCTGATCTGGTCAGCCAACTACAGCAACAACAACAGTTACATCAACAACCGCATCATAACATCAATAACAGTAGCAAAATGTTAACACAACAACAACTGCAACAGCTATACACGCAACGACAAATGCCACCTCAGTATCAACAACAGCAACACCAACAACGGCCAAACTCACGATTCTACTTGAAGCCGCAACTGGTACCTTATCCCTGTCGAATACAGTCGTCAACTTCCTCTCCAACCAACACACAATACCAGATCAGCAACATGATCCGAATGCCGAACTACTTCTCACCCGACTTCTCCCCGACCACTCAGAAATATTCTACACTTCCGCATTTTACCGTTCCGACCCGATTCTACGCCAACTTATTATACGATAAAAATACCCTTACTACTAATACCGACTCGAATACGAATAGCGGTATCGGTACGTTACTATTCGGCGCTCCGTCGTTTGAAGCTCGATCAGTCGCTAGAAAGTTATGCGCTATGTCAACTAATAATACAACTAATAATAATAAGGATAATACAAATAATAATAATAATGTAAACAACAATAATAAAAATAATAATAAGGAATGGGAGACATTTGACTGATTGTGAGAACTGGGTACCTATATATATAAAGTTATCCGTAGTAAATTCCCTACAAATGCATGCTAATCTTGAGTTGTGTATTTATATCTTATTTGTGTTTTTGGTTTGAAAGTTGATAATAAATTATGTGTATTAATATATATATATATATAATAATATATATGTGTGTGTGTTTGTATGTGTGTGTGTGCGTGAATGTGGCTTTGCCTGAAAGATATAAGATCTTATGGTAGAAAGATCTGAAATCTTTTTTGATCTGCTTTTCATCTAATATGACAATAATTACAAACCAAAATTTTATTTCTTACACACACATACACACATATACATATATATAAATATTATATATATATAATACCCGTCGAGGGGTATTTCGGTTTCATCATAGGTAGCCAAACGGCAACCCCCCGATCTCGGGTAAAATGTCGTCTAAACGTGTGTTGTTTGTTGTATTATATATATATATGTGTGTGTGTGTTTATGCGTCTTAGTCTTCCTTTTGTTTATGTGTGCTTTATAATGGTGTATCCATCTATATTACATTCATCTACGCTTTCAAACCATGATCTATTTATTTATTTATATTATATATTTATATTAGGGATGCACCGGATTCAGGTTTTTCAAATCCGGCCGGAGCCGGACTTGGCCGGATTTAAAATTAAAAAACCGGCCGGAGCCGGGGCCGGATTTTAGTTACCATTTCACATACGTTAGAAAAAATACTCACATTTACGGTTATCTACATCAAAAAATAACACCAAGCAAATAGTTATTTAATTCAAATATATGAATAAGTTGTGATACGCCAAATTCTGTACACAAAGACCAGCTTATAATTTATGCATAATCCATAAAGAAAATTGTCCAGCTCATCTCACAATTAGTGATGTTAATATTATGTGTCATGTATGCACGTGCACAAGTTATTTTACACAAAGATCAGCTTATAATCTATGCATAATCCATGTTATAGCACAAAGAAAATTGTCCGTCCAGCTCACCGCACAATTAGTGATGTTGTCATGTATACCTAGCCTAACCTTTAACATACCATGTTCTTAAATTATATATAAATATATATATATTTATATTATGTAGCTATATGATCCGTCATGTGCAATTATCAATATATAGTATATACACGTGCACAAGTTCTTTTACACAAAGATCAGCTTATAATTTATGCATAACCCATGTTATAGCATAAAGAAAATTGTCCAGATCACCTCACAATTAGTGATGTTGTTATTATGTGTCATATATGCCTTTAGCTTAGCCTTAGCCTTTAACTTATTGACATAAAATTAATTGAATTCAATAAAAAATTTTTTCTGTTTATAACATTTTTAAAAGTTGATAGACGCTTAAATCCGGCCCTAAATCCGGCCGGGGCCGGATTCGACCGGATTTTAAAAAAAAGCCAGATTTTGGCCGGGGCCGAACTTCGGTGCATCCCTAATTTTTATATATATATATATATATATATATTTATATTCGTGTGTTTGTGTTTGCCTATCTGTCTGTCTGCGTACGTCTGTATACTTATATATATATTTATTTTATTTATTTATTTTGTTTATTTATTATAGTTAGAATGCTGTTATAATAGCACAGTATTAACAATAAATTTTCCGACCAGATTCATAAATAAATATACATACATATAAGTATGTATGTATTAATAATGTATGTTTGTATGAATGTATGCATTTATGTATGTATGTACGTACGTATGTATGTATTAATGGTAATATTCAATTACTACTATGATGATTACAGTTAATAATGATAACATTAACAGCCAAAATAATAATAATAATAATCATCATCACATCATTTACTGGTAAACCAATCAGTAAACAGACGAACATGTAAATAATAATAATGATTAATAAATAAATAATTTAATTGATAAACAATAATAAATAAATAATTTTATTAATAATACTAATCATGAACAATTTAAACAGCCACCTAAACAAGATGATAATAATAAAAAAAACAACTCTTCATTAAAAAATCCAAACTCTTAATAGCAACTTGACGCAACTCACATACACACGCACACTCGCAAACAAACATACATATATACACACGTACATGCACGCACAACACACACATATTTAATTATATATATGTATATATCTATATAATTATACTTTGGTTAAACAGTAAATTTGGGAAAACCAAAGAAGAAATAAGCACATGCATGTGTATATATATATATATATATTTATTTATACATATGTATCTATTAAGTTTGATATATATATATATATTTATTTATACATATGTATCTATTAAGTTTTATATATATATATTTATACATATGTATCTATTAAGTTTTCTCTTAATAATAAAATAATAATATATATGTTTTATGTAATGAATACATATGGTCATGAAATGCAGATGATAATATAATCATATCAGTAGAGAGATAAAGGAGAGAGAGAGAGAGGAGAGAGAAAGAAGAGAAAAAAGGAATAGAGAGGAGTGAAAGATAGAAAGAGAAGAGAGAGAGAGAGAGAAAAGAGAAAGAACTTTTTCTTATCCAAATAATGTAAGGTTGAAAAAACAAACTGATGTGCAAAGGACAACGGTAGGAAGGATTGAACGAAAAAAACTGAAAAAAAAAATGAATGATTGAGCGAATCATATATATATATATATATATGTTGGTAATGGACCATAATTTTTACAATATTCTATAAATTCTACCGAATGTTTGGCGTTAATATGTTTGTAGTTCGTTTTTTCGATTTTTCTCACTAAAGTTTTTTGGTGAACATTTAGTTTATTAAAATTCAAAATAAACTTTTTTTTCGAATTCATGCTGCAAATAAGGCCTTATTTCGAATGAATCATCGTCAGTGCTCCTTGTTGTATATATAGGGAAATATTGACTTTGTCAAGATGAACTTTGACGTTGTAAAAATTAACTTTGGTGTTGTAAAGTTGAACTCTGATGCGAATTAGG